AGATTAAAAGTGCTCACCGAGTACTTTGCACCAAGGATGGAAAGATAACCCACACCAGGGCACATGTCAGTGAAATTTCAGAACCCTGAGAATAAACAAAAGATCCCAAAAACTTTCAGAGAGCAAAAAAAATAAAATACTGGGAATTTGAATAATAATATACTTATCATCATCATTATTGGAAGCTAGAACACAGTAGACCAGTGCCTTCAAAATTCTGAGGAAAAATGATATCCAGTCAAGATAATGTAAAATAAAGACATTTCAGATGTGATTTTGCAAAACATTTTCAACCCATGCATGTTTTCTCATACAACTACTGGAGGATGTGCTTCAAGAAAATGAGGGAGGGCCGGCCCCGTGGCTTAGTGGTTAAGTGAGCGCGCTCCGCTGCTGGCGACCCGGGTTCGGATCCCGGGCTCGCACCGACGCGCTGCTTCTCTGGCCATGCTGAGGCCGCGTCCCACATACAGCAACTAGAAGGATGTGCAGCTATGACACACAGCTATCTACTGGGGCTTTGGGGGGAAAAAATAAAATAAATAAAATCTTAAAAAAAAAAAAAAAAAGAAAATGAGGGAATACACCAGGACAGAGAAAGATAAAGAATCTAATAATTAGTGAATCAATATAAGAGAAAAAGCAAAGGAAATTCTAAGGATGTCATCTGAGGATGACACCTGTACAGAGGCCTAGAAAACAAACCCACCCTGACTGAAGCAGGAAGGTGGAAGACTTCAAGAGGAATGTCTCACCTGAGAGATTACTGGATGCATTTGAACATTTTGAGGGATTTACCTTTCCATAAAGATATTGGGGATTAATTAGTAATGGGTACATAGAAAAATAGTCCTATGAAATAAATGACTAACTATATGACAAACTAAAAGTTGTAAGGAAAGAAATATAATAATAATATTCTGTATAGCTCAGGATATATAATTTTTTACATAATGTAAATACTGAATATTTAACAACATTATGATTTAACTGCTATTGGGAGGATTGGGATCAGGAAGAAGGATGTACGAGTTCATTCCTTCTATAGTATAAAGCTACTATGGGATATCTAAAACTGACAAGTCAAGAAACGATTTAGTTTAAAAATATGGAGGTAATTACCATAAGAAAAAGCCAAAAGAATTTTTAGCTCTGGGGAGTGGCTAGGAGTTTAGAAAGGGACTTGACAGAGAACTGCTTGTTTGTTTTGATTTTTTTGTGTATATGTATGAGGAAGATTGGCCCTTGAGCTAACATCCACTGCCAATCTTCCTCTTTTTTTCTGAGGAGCATTAGCCCTGAGCTAACATCTGTGCCCATCTCCCTCTATTTTATATATGGGATGCCGCCACAGCATGGCTTGATGAGGGGTGCGTAGGTCTGTGCCCAGGATCCGAACCCGCGAACCCCAGGCCACCAAAGTGGAGCATGTGAACTTAACCACTATGCCAAGAAGGGGGCTGGCCCCCTTCTTTTGATTTTTTTAACTACCTTTATAGAACTATTTGACTAAACAGATAGCTTTGATTTAAAAATTTTAAAGATGAATGGAAGAGTAAGTAGATAAAATAAGCTAGCTATAGACTATACTTTCTAGGAGCTTGACTGTGAAGGAAGAATTTTACTTTGCCCCCCACACCCAAATCTTGTCATTACTCTCTTCTAAATATCTCAAATACATCCCTTCTCCCATCCACATCAATTCTTGCCTTTTAACTGGTCTACTAACCTCCCTCAATCTAGCCCTTCTCTACACTGTAACCAGAGTTGATCTTTTGAGTTCTCTGGTTAAAATTATCCCTTAGCTGGGCCGGCCCCGTGGCTTAGCGGTTGAGTGCGTGCACTCCGCTGCTTGCGGCCCAGGTTCATATCCCGGGCGCGCACCGACGCACCGCTTCTCCGGCCATGCTGAGGCCACATCCCACATACAGCAACTAGAAGGATGTGCAACTATGACATACAACTATCTACTGGGGCTTTGGGGAAAAAATAAATAAATAAAAAGTTTAAAAAAAAATTATCCCTTAGCTTCCCATTTCCTTTAAGATAAAACTCAGTTTTTTAAATATAGGCTGTAATATTCAATGTGATTTAATCCCCACCTGCCTCTGCCCCCATCTTTCATACCCTCAACTCTAGCCGTTCTGAACTCCATGTGATTCCTAGAAGTTATCATTATTCTTTCTGTCCTTTTTACCTTTGCATCCTGAAACCCCAATCTCCCTCAGTTCATCTGACAAAATTCCTTTTTATCCCTGGGGGTGGAGCCCTGTATAACTTGACCACTATCACCACCACCTGTCCCTCCTACACCCTCACTGAGTTGTGTTCTTCCTGTGTGTTCCCATAATATCCTTTGGTTATCACATTTATCACACTCTATTTTTATAGGTTATTTTCTTCCCAGTCTGACTTTTCCTTCTTTTGTCTCCTGTGGTTGAGCTTCTTGAATGCAGAAATAGTGGCTTTTTTTCCTTCACCTTTCTCAACTGTGTCACCCAGGAGAATATTCAGATTATAGTAGTTACTCAATATATGTTTGGGAGAGAGAAAGGGATGGATAGATAGATTTCATAGATGAACATCTTAAATTTAAAGAAATTGAAGCTGAAATACATCATGCAAATCAATAGCACTTATTGTCAAATTGCAGTTATTCTTCTTAGTTGATTATAACCACTCAGGAAGGGGACACCATCAAATATGGTATAAGTAATCAGCTCTCAGTGATCAAGTGTAATGTGTGTTTATCTGTTTTCTAGAGGAAAATGTATTGATGGCAACCTATGTTGAATTCCTTTTTTACTTACATTCCTGAAAGAGAATAATAATGTATTAATAGGTCATATTAAAAATAAAAGACTAGAAAGTAGATTAATGGTTGTCAAAGGACGGAAGTAGGGAGGGTCGGGGGCAACAGAATGGGTATGAGGTTTCTGTTTGGGGTGATGAGAATGTTCTAGAATAGGCAGTGGTGGTGGTTGCACAACCTTGTAAATATAGTAAAAACCACTGAATTGTACACTTTAAAATAGTAAATTTTATGGTATGTGAATTAAATCTCAAAAAAAGAAAAAGATGAGAGGTAGAATATTTAGCATTTGACAATACTGTAATATTGGGAGGAGTTCATAAGGAAATTTATACTTATTATCAGAATAAAGTTCCAAATTAAAAGTTAAAGACATTGAAAAGATCTAAATTATCTAAATGGCCGTTGACAGAAAATCTATTTCAGCCCAATCGCAGGACATCTGAGTTTGCATTAAAGGAAGTATTCTGTGGTTTGTATTTATAATTTTACTGACATTTGTTGCTGTTTACTCTAAATCCTAAAGCTATCAGACAGCTTTTCTTTTTCTTTCTTTCTTTCCTTTTCTTTACACAAACGAAATGGCATTGGGTCAGGTACCAGTGACTCGATAAGGAAGAAATATTTTAATCTATCTTTGGTTTGATGTACACCAAGAATTAGAATGTTCTGAATTTTGAAAGAAGAGTGTTGCTTTAATTTTACAATATAAATTTTAATAACCGTGTAGTACTGACTTAATTCACAGATAACAGTAAAATTTTATTTGTCTAAATTCTGACCTCATCTTTGAATCACTGGATTCATTTCTGCTTCTCAGGAGCCAGGAAGCCCGAGTGTCCTTCAATTGAACTAAGCTTCTCCTATATCCATTCTCAGTTTGGCCTCATATGTCCTATTTGTTGAATTTGTCACTCATCATGGTATAGATTTGTTTGTTGGTTCATCTGCTCAACAAATATTTATTGATGTCTATGTGTTCCATGCACTCTTCTAGGCATTGGGCATACAGTGGTGTACAAGGCAAAAGTCTCATCCTCTTAGAGCTTTCATTATAAATGGTGGCCAGATTCTACTCCTTTTTCTAAAAACTCACTTATTGGTGATAGTTGGGAGATTAGAGCTTTTTATTTTTTTATTTTTTGAGGGAGGAGAAGAAATCCTACTCATCCTTCATGGTTTATTTCTTCACAAAATCTTCCTCAGCACTCCTATACAGAATTAACTGCTTGTTTCTGTGTTGATCCTAATGCACTTTATATTATATATGTCTCTGTTCTCCTTCTAAAAAACAGATCTGGTCATGTCACCTCCTTATTTTCCCTTTACTTGACTCCCTGTTATTCTTGGGTTAAAGTTCAAACTGGGCTTACAGGGGCTTTATGATCTGGCTCTAGCCTGCCTCTCCAGAGTCAACAATCCTCTATTGGACTTTTAGTTCCTCTAACACGCTGTGCTTCCCATTCGAGTGAGCTTCCATGCATGCTGTTTCATTTACTTAAAACAGTCTTCTCCCTACCCCTTTAATATGACTAACTGCTCCTTATCTTTAGGTTTTTGTCTTAGGTAGCGCTTTCTCTGGTAAACCTTCCTTGACCAAACCCCCCACCCCCATCTGGGGTACTCCTCCCCTGTGTTGCTGTGGCACCTTGTGCTGCCATTAACCAAATACTTGATCACACTTAATATGGCCCTAGACAGTAGCCGCCACTGGACAGTCTTTATCTTTCTCTTCTTATTTTATCCCCCAGTTCCTAACACAGTATGTACTCAGACATTTGCTTCTGTTTCCTCTACTAGCCTGCGAAGGCCCTTGAGGTTAGACTGTGTGTGGTACATCATACTAAGCTAAGCAGATGTTGGAATGAATCAGTGAATGATTGATTGTGTTGATTGATTGTATTTTTTTCTTGGCTTTTTAATGACTAAATTCATAGCTTTAAAAAAATTGTCCTTTAGTAAAAAAAGAAAAAAGTATGTTTGAATGGTACTGTTTTTATTTTGTCTGCATATTTTTTTCCTTTTATCTATAAATTTGATGACATTTTATCTTTTCTGTTTTAACTGAGATGTGAATGTGCTTTATCTGACTCTGTAGAATGGCTTTTATCACTTACAGTAACCATTGATGATAAATTTCTTAGTATTCTAACTGTATTTTTTTGTTTGTTTTTTCTCTTCTACCTAGTTGTTGTGGAATTATAAACTGAACCTAACTACAGATCCCAAATTTGAATCTGTGGCCAGAGAGGTTTGCAAATCTACCATATCAGAGGTAAGTTGTGAAAGAATTTTGTGGGTATTGAATGGCTTAGATGAGAAAATTACATCTGTTGACCAGACCAGTCATTAAACGAGGAATGACTGACTCAGTTACTTTACTTTTCTTGGAATTCACATCTATATTGGTTGAGAGAGAGACCAAGCGGGGGATAGGGGATGTAATTCTTTTTATTAATGTTTACCTACACTTAGAGTAGGATTTGTTGATTCAGACAAGTTGGAAATTAGGCTCTGTTGGTCCCCAAACAGAGAATACAACTGCTTCTGTCATCAGTGCTGCTCTCACACATTTTACAATCTGTTTATGTCTGAGGCATATCAAAATGGTTTCTCCAGGAGGCTTATAAACATTCCTAAGTGTTTTGGCTATGCACTTGGATCAATTGAACCACAGAGGCATATGCTTCATATAGTAGGAGTTAGCAGTAAAAAGGTTTGTAAAAAGATTGTGTATAATGTTATAAATGCATATTGAGTATAAAGACAAAAATAATTAATGAAAATGTATAGCATTGTACGGATGCTAATTGGGAAAATTTTTCAATTATTTCTCTTGGCTCAATGTAAACAATAAATAATGTTAGTAAAAATTGTGGTATTGAAATTTTAATTTTATTTTATTTTAATTTTTGGAATCAGTAATAGAAATTCCAAAAACCCAGAGATTTCTGTATACTGAAGTATAATAATCGCAGAGAAAATAGTAGCTATTTTTCCACCTCAAAGTTAATAATCATAGATCTTGCAACATATTGATCTGTCCTTAAACTGACTCTATTGATGACTTAAGTCAGGATCACTCTCTCCTGAGCCCTAAGGAAGACCCTACTCCACCCAGATAAGCCCTCAGCTTGTGTTCCTCACTTACGTCATCATGAGATCTTGTAGAACCTGTTTTCTTCCTCAAACCTTCTAATACTGGATCAGATATGTTTTATTCTTTTAAAGCAGTGACCCTTCATATTTACCTTGGGGCTTCAGAATAGAATAGCTTATCTGTGAAAGATTGATCTTCAGCTTCTAGCTTCAATATTCTGTATCTTAAACTCCCTTAGCTAGCTATATGACTAGCTATACGTACCAGTTTGATTGCCATCTGGAAATTTAGCTCAGAGTCTATGCAGATTCACCTGAATATTTTCACTCTTTGCTGGCTTATTATATGTATATCTATATCTGTTATAAGGCTGGCTTTCTTATAATGTATATGTAATGATGGCCCTCTTGTAACCTTTTGGAGGGTTGTGGCTTTGTAAAAGATTCAAGTAACAAGGGCACTTCTCCCTCCCCAGAGAGAGAGTATAGTCGAGTCAGGAAAATTAAATATCAGGAGGAACATAGTTGCCAACAAAACATTTTATTCTACATCTCCGTCCTATCTTCTTCCTTAATTTTGGAATCCTACTTCCAAGGAGAAAAACAGCATTGCAAGAATAGCTGCAGACTGCCAACCATGCTTTTTGTTTCCTCTCCAAGACTGAGCCAAATACTGCCTGCTTTCCTCCTGTCTCATGTCAGAAATAGAGTGACTGCAACATTTTTCTAATGCACCTTGTGAATTTGCTCCCCAGCCACTTCAGAGTTTACTGCTGTTCATAAATATGTTGATGATTTAATACTGTGTTTTGCTATTAATCTTAGAAGTCTTATTAAACTTCTCTTCAATAGAATGGTTGAAGAAAAGCATAAACTTCTAATTCAAATACTACACCCCATGTAATTGGTGGTGAACTGAAGTACAAATAGGTACTACATCTCTGTATTTCAGTAAAATCTCAAGTGATTAAAGCTAAATATATGTTTAATTTTTTATTGGGTCTCCAATTCAAAATGTGCTCTTGGTTTTTCTTCAGATTTTTAAACTGTTGGTTGCCCAGTATTAGTCCTGTGTGAATTCTTCTACTTCATTAAGTTTTAAAACCCAGGTGTCTGCCACTAGTCCTATTTTTTTATACAGGGTTTTTTTTTATGGTTGAATTACAAATGCTGAGACTTTCAAGCAGCTATTCCTCCTTTCACTTTTGAAACTTAACTCTGTTTTGCTCAAAAAAAAAAAAAGCTTTTCCTGGAAATACATTCATGGCCCTCTTTTTAGGCATCACAGAAAAAGAGCTCCAGGTTAAACTGAAAGAATTGCGTTAATCTTGACTGTTGAAGATCTATGCTACCTCTTGAAGTCAGTGTGGGACTATTTACTTAAATTCCCAAGTTTGCGTCTTTAAAAGTAAACACAGTTTTTTGTCTTGAACTGAGTTTTTGACTTGATCTGGATTTAGACCTGAAGAGACCCAGTGGTCTATAGGATAATTAGTGTGTAGTATGCCCTTCACCCAGTACCTTTTGGAAAAGGAGATTGTATTTGTTTTGTCCTATTTACATATTTACAACAGGTGGTGCAATAGTAGAGAATGGTCTCTTTTGATTTCAAAAAAAACCAATAAAACATTCTCTTATCATTTATGTTAAAAATAAATATTTACATTTGGCTCCTTCCTTTTTTCAGAACTGCAATTTTTGTTTTTAATTTCTCCAAGTGTGGTAGGCTTTTTCCAAACAACCTTCTCTGCTTTATAATTAAAGCTTATAACCCTATAAGTAGACTTCACTTTTTTTTTAAATTAATTAATTAATTAATTTATTTCCCCCAAAGCCCCAGTAGATAGTTGTATGTCATAGTTGCACAGCCTTCTAGTTGCTGTATGTGGGACGCGGCCTCAGCATGGCCGGAGAAGCGGTGCGTCAGTGCACGCCCGGGATCCAAACCCGGGCCGCCAGCAGCGCAGTGCGTGCACTTAACCGCTAAGCCACGGGGCCGGCCCATAGACTTCACTTTTTTATGCCTAAATTTCAGCATTTTTTGGCTGGTTTGCTTTATTAGCACTTGCAGTTTGGGATGCACTTTGCAGGAACACTAACCATGTGGAATCACTCTGTGCTTGATCCACTAGATCATATGTCTGAACCACCCAAATTACATTTACTGTGGCCTTCCCCTTCCCAAACTTCTTACCAGACTACAGTGAACATCATTTTAAATATGTTTCTGTTCCAGACCACAGTGGTGAAGCTGGCATTCTGCTAAGTTCAGAAACACATGTCCAAATCCATAGTTAATTCAGAACACATTAATGTCATGTCAAGAAGTAATATTATGCCTTTCATCTTCCCTCCCGTTGGCCGTTAGTTTCGCCTACCAATAATAGTTTGCAGTGTAGCTTGGCTTGGGATATGCAGCTAGACTTCAGTTCTGCACCTGTTTTCCAGACCTATTCCCCAGATTAATTTCCTCACTATCCATTGCATTTTTTGCATGGCTAAAGTGACTTCTCAGTAGAACCATTCTAAAGCTGTAGATTTTAAAAGCTCTTTTTAACTATATCAATAAAGCTGAAATTTTTTAAAAAGCTCTTTTTACTCTATTTAAACCTGAGTTCTACCTAAGCATTTGTATATGTATGTATTTTCTTGCAAAACACATTAATCAGGTATTTCCTAGAGGGCACAACAATCTGAGAGGGCATGGCACACTATTTCCTTTAAAACAAATGTATTTCTCTGTTTTCCTTTTTTCTTCCAAGTATAGAGATGGGAAATCAATAAGAAAATATCAGACATTCTCTCTTTTGTAAAGGCTGTTTGATGTGAGAATAGAATACTTGTATAAAACAGCCACTTTCTTTTGAGCAGATTAAAGAATGTGCTGATGAACCAGTTGGAAAAGGTTACTTGGTTTCCTGCTTGGTGGATCACCGAGGCAACATCACTGAGTACCAGTGTCACCAATACATTACCAAGATGACAGCCATCGTTTTCAGTGATTACCGTCTAATCTGTGGCTTCATGGATGACTGCAAAAATGACATCAACATTCTGAAATGTGGCAGCATTCGCCTTGGAGAAAAGGTACTTACTACACTGGCTTCACCAGAGGGGTCTTAAGAACTTGATAAATGAAAAGCTTTGTATAACTGGCATGGGAAAAAATTAGGGCTAGAGGTGGCCTTAAAGTTGAGGTATAGACAGCCCCAAGATCTAAAGCTGGTTGACCGGTGAATGCATTTCATCTGTTTGTAACAAAATGTTTCAGTACTATACAGGGAAGTAGAGGAATTTATATATGCTAAGAGTAATGTTATCTTCAAAATACTAAACCAGTTGTTGGTTACGTATTATGTTTCTCTTGCAAAGCATTTTGCAGTCTTGTAAGAAAAGCAGTTGAGGGGCCAGCCCCGTGGCTTAGTGGTTAAGTGCGTGCGCTCCGCTACTGGCGGCCCAGGTTCAGATCCCGGGTGCGCACTGACACACCGCTTCTCCGGCCATGCTGAGGCCACATCCCACATACAGCAACCAGAAGGATGTGCAACTGTGACATACAACTATCTACAGGGGCTTCGGGGATAAAAAAGGAGGAGGATTGGCAATAGATGTTAGCTCAGAGCTGGTCTTCCTCAGAAAAAAAAAAAGAAAGAAAGAAAAGCATTTGAGTTAGGAGAGATTTGAGTTCTCTCATCTTTCTTTGTGTATACCTCATTGTTGCCATAGAAAAATTATTTGGTAAGCACACCAGTACCAAAGAAGGTATTTAAATATTAGAAAATTTTAAGATACGTGAAGGTACTTCTAGCTTGTCAGAAGAAAGGTACTCTATAAATGTGATCTATTGTTATCTTCATCTCAGAAGAACTAGTTTTAGTAAAGACAGGAAAGAAAATAACTACCTAGCTAGTTTCTTCTTCCTTAATTATATCTGATCTTATTTTGTCCTTATTAGTCTGTTGTCCAGAAGGTCACAGTGGAGGTTTGGTCAGGTTTATCCTGAATTTGTTTGTTCAGCAAAAATGAAAGAAATTCCTAAGAGGTAACAGATGCCAGTGGGAGAGGTAGTCTGAGAGCTGTGTATGGCATCAGCTATTAATTGCCACAGCTCATTAATCTGCTGTTTAGGAAATAAAAGGGAAAATAAAATCCATTTGTCTCTTTGCCCTCTATTTGTTCATTGCACCATGGGTTTGCAGGCTTCCATCACTGACAAAGGGGACATGGTGTTGGAATGCTGGAACTGCATAGACTAGTTCAAATGAAGGGTTTAGTGCTGAATATTGTCTGGCTATCACCAAATACCCTTTCCTTCATACCAGCACAGGGCTCTGGCCCTTTCACAGGGCACTCTGAGTTGGTCTTGAGGAGCACTGTGAACTTGGCCTACACCTTTCAGGCAGCTAAAGAAAGGCCAGTTTTAATAAAGAAGGCAGATTTTTTTCCTTTACAGCAGACTCTAGAAATGGCACAAAAGCACTAAGTCACCCTCATAATTCAAAAAGTTCCTCTGACTTTCTTTAGGGTGTTGGAGATTTTATCGAATTCTAACCCTCACTCTTTTTAAAATCTTCACATAAGTGTTCCAGACAGAATTTTCAGGAATCAGTGATGACACTTTTTCATATTTGTGATTAATGGTCCACGCTGCAGAGTAGACCATTACAATTCACCTCTCTTTGTGGTAGTTCTTCCCTGTTGACCACCAAGATAATTGCTGGTTGGCTTCCCACTAGTGATCTGAATTGTCAATGTAAAACCTGCTTTCAGCTGCATGTGTGAGTTACTCAGTCTGCAGTGACTGAAATCATTGCAGGAAGAAGTAGTGCTAGAGCCCAAAGACGTGAGAGGAGGCTTGTTTTTTCAGCTTCGTTAAAATAACAAAAAATGTTCCTGTGGACTATCAAAACGCACATTTTTATCTTTTGCTATACCTACCAGTTAGGTGAATTTCTGTTTATACCAGCCCCTCACCCTAGGATCAAAGGCTTTCTTGTACTTTGGTGACAGTGTGATGGGCTCATGCCTGCACTTTTGAAAAAGCATATTCCCTCCTATATAATTCACTCTGGTGCTACAGCCAAGTTTAAAAATGAAGGAGGCATACCCTCAGCTCTTCTTTGCTTTTTCTAACTATAGTTTACTTCTCTGAAGCCAGTTATTTAAATATGAAAACTATCCTGAAAATTAATAAATCAGCTTCTGATCACAGAAGGGAACAAGCTCATCAGTTTCAAATTTGTTGCCACTGAAGCTTGAAAACTCCCCTGTGACTGGCTTTGAACTGACCTCCTCTGAAGGTCAGAGGCGAGGGGTCGTAGTTAATCTGTTTGTACCCTGCCTCTGCATGAATGTAAAAATGTCATGATTTCAAAACTATAACAATTTTTTCAAAATGTTAATATATATAAATTTTAGATCAAAGATTATATATTAATAAAACCTATAGAATCCCATTTACAGTCGCAATAAAAAGAATAAAATACTAGGAATAAATTTTACCAAGGAGGTGAAAGACCTATATACTGAAAACTGTAAGACATTATTGAAAGAAATCGAATCGAAGAAGATGTAAAGAAATGGAAAGATATTTCCTGTTCATGGATTAGAAGAATTAACATAGTTAAAATGTCCATATTACCTGAAGCAATCTACAAATTCGATGCAGTCCTAATCAGAATCCCAATGAAATTCTTCATGAAAATGGAACAAAGAATCCTAAAATTTATATGGAACAACAAAAGATCCCGAATAGCCAAAACAATCCTGAGAAAAAAGAGCAAAGCTGGAGGTATCACACTCCCTGAATTCAACAAATATTGCAAAGCTATAGTAATCAAAACAGCATGGTACTGGCAGAAAAACAGACACACAGATCAGTGGAACAGAATTGAAAGCCCAGAAGTAAAACCACACATCTATGGACAGCTGATCTTCGACAGGCGAGCCAAGAACATTCAATGGAAACAGGAAAGTCTCTTCAGTGGAAGGTGTTGGGAAAACTGGACAGCTACATGCAAAAGAATGAAAGTAGACCATTATCTTATACCATACACAAAAATTAACTCAAAATGAATTAAAGGCTTGAAGGTAAGACCTGAAACCATAAAACTATTAGAAGAAAATATAGGCAGTACACTCTTTGACATCAGTCTTAGCAGTATCTTTTTGAATACCATGTCTAATCAGGCAAGGGAAACAAACGAAAAAACAAATGGGACTACATCAAACTAAAAAGCTTCTGCACTGCAAAGGAAACCATCAACAAAACAAAAAGATAACCCACCAACTGGGAGAAAATATTTGTAAATCATATATCTGACAAGGGGTCAATTTCCAAAATATATAAAGAACTCATACAACTCAACAACAACAAAATGAACAGCCCAATCAAAAAATGGACAGAAGATCTAAATAGAGATTTTTCCAAAGAAGATACACAGATGGCCAAGAACGACATGAAAAGATGTTCAAATCACTAATTATTAGGGAAATGCAAATCAAAACTACAATGAGATATCACCTCACACCCGTCAGAATGGCTATAATTAACAAGACAAGAAATAACAAGTGTTAGAGAAGATGTAGAGAAAAGGGAACCCTCATACACTGTTGGTGGGAATGCAAACTGGTGCAGCCACTATGGAAAACAGTATGGAGATTCCTCAAAAAATTAAAAATAGAAATAGCATATGATCCAGCTATCCCACTACTGGGTATTTATCTAAAGAACATGAAATCAATAATTCAAAAAGATATATGCACTCCTATGTTCATCACAGCATTATTCACAATAGCCAAGACTTGGAAACAACCTAAATGCCCATCAACAGAAGAATGGATAAAGAAGATGTGTATATTATATATACATACACAATGGTATTCCACTCAGCCATAAAAAAGACAAAATTGTGCCATTTGTGACAACAAGGATGGACCTTAAGGGTATTATGCTGAGTGAAATGAGTCAGAGAAAGCCAAACACTGTATGATTTTACTCATACATGGAAGATAAACACATAGATAAGGAGAACAGATTAGTGGTTAGCAGAGGAGAAGGGAGTGGGGGGAGGGCAAAAGGGGTAAAGGGGCACATATGTATGGTGACGGATTAAAAACTGGACTATTGGTGGTGAACACAATGCAGTCTATACAGAAACAGATATAGTGATATACATCTGAAATTTATACAGTGTCATAAGCCAGTATGACCTTAATAAAATAACTTTTTTAAAAACCTACAGAATTTTCTAAATAAATATTGTTAAAATGAAAGGGCAGATCTCTAAAAGTAAAAGTGTAAATGGTTTATATCATCTGAAGAGAAAGTCAAATGTGGCTTCCAATACAGGAACTTAATAGTGGACATGTGCCATGTTATTACTGCTTTTATGCTTTTCACTCAATCTTTACATCATTTTATCATTCTCTGGTTTTAACCAACTACTTTGAATAATTCAGACATTCTTGTTCTCTCTTTATCTAGTGAGGTAGATCACAGAAGACACCAAAACGTTGAAATAGAGAGTGGTTTATAGCAGAAATAAAAACTGAATTCTTGCTTACTTTTTTGAGATTAGTGTTATCCTTCTCTGTCATTAAAAAAAAAAGGACAAGGTATATGGGAAAGAAGAAATACTCGCAAAAAAAAAAACCCACAGCACTGGATTTTTTTTTTTAACAACTCGTACTTAATGTGAAATAACTGATGTGGGATACTGTAACTGTTTGAGGACTTTGTTTGTAACCTAACATTGAGCCATTGACATGTTCACTGTTCTATGCCTTGGAGCAAAATGTCAATTAAAATTAAAATCTCAAAAAAAAAAAAGAAATATTCGCTATTGAACTGCTATAAACTGATCAGGACGCTAGCAGTAGTTTTAAGACAGACATTTGTCTCACCACAGTAGAATCTTAAAAATTCATTGTAAGTCTATTTACAGGATCATTTGTTATTCATATGCCAATCCTGTGTATTAATAACTTTTTTTAACCTAAGTAACTTTATTTTCTCATAGATAATGTGCCGGTGCTTCCATTCGTATTCAGTAACTAGCTAGTCTTCTTTGTCAAGTACTTGCATATATTTCAGTTACATAACCCAAATGGGCTGAACCGAAAAGCTCAGAGACTTTGGGGAACTGAGAAAGATCCCTGAAATATCTTTATTTTAAAAATTATCGGGCCGGCCCCGTGGCTTGGTGGTTGGGTGCGCGCGCTCCGATGCTGGCGGCCCGGGTTCGGATCCCGGGCGCGCACCGAGGCACCACTTCTCCCTCCATCCTGGGGCTGAGTCCCACATACAGCAACTAGAAGGATGTGCAGCTATGACATACGACTATCTACTGGGGCTTTGGGGGAAAAAATAAATAAATAAAATCTTTAAAAATTATCTATCTAAAGTTATGATGAATAAAAACATCTAATGGAGGTGATGTTATGGCCCAGTACTGATGTGTGGCGCTACAGTTGCTATAATTAAAATCAAATCTTAGCTTCCTTAGGGGATCTCAAACCATGATGATGCTCCCTTAAATCCAATAAGAAGCAAAAAGAACCGTTAGGAAATATAATAGCCCTAAATAGTTAATGTCACTGGCGGCACATTTAAAACAGTTATAAACCCTAAGTATACAGGGAAACACTTTGACTCATTACGTGGAAATCATTTCTTTATCATATGATATCAAGATTAAAGGCTGAATCTAAGTCAAGAATTGACTATTGTGCTATTGTTTTCAGTCTCTTTTATATGATTAAGACCTAATTGCTGGTGACCATCTAAGCAAGTTATGATGGGCTACTAAAAATTGGTATAGATGTTGTTTTATGACATAAAATCATGTTTATAATAATCTCTCGTATAGTGTAAATAGTATGTGACAAGTATGTTTCTGTCCAAATCTTTGTTACAGATTTGTTTTTCCTTTGGGAAGTAGAAATGGGTAGGCCTTGCCTGAGTGGGCCGTAGTCAGACAAACTTGAGTGTCACTCATAAATTAGGAAGAAAAAATAAGCCTCACTCCGATTTCTGGGATTTATGTCCACTTTTCTCTCTGTCCTTATCCTTTTGTCACTTGTCCCTCAGAATTTTGTTTATCTGTTCAGAATTACTCTCCAGAAAAACGTTTCTGGTCATCTCAGGTTTCTAAGCATTGGTTAGAATCATACAGCTAGTGAGAAAGGTTAAGGTGCAGATAGAAAATGGGAAGGCATGAGAATCTGCTAGGAGAGTGTGCTTCCTAATCTTTTTTGAGTCAGCAAATCTTTTGCAAATTTAACAAAAGCTATGAACCCTCAGGAAAAATATAAAACACACACACAAATTTTAGGAGTTTCTTAGAACCCCAAGGTCTAGAAAAATAAACGATGGACTGTTGGCTGGGCCCCTTACGTGCTGCAACTCAAATGAGTTCATCAACTCCTCTAGGCCTCTGTTTACTCATCTGCACGATAGATACCACAATTTCTATCCTTTCTTCACAGATATATTAGGAGCGAACATGAAAATTCTCATGGAAATACTTAGAAATTAATGTACTATAGAACAAAACCTATTACAACAAAATAGAAAAAAACTATATACATTGTTTTGTTGAATTCAAATTTTGCTTAAAGTAGATGTTTCCCTACCTGGTTTTAGGAATCTTTTTTCTTATATACAGATGATTTTATAGACATGGTATTTTACTATAACAAGATTTTTTATGCACGCGTGTGTAAATAAATGATAGCACTGTAATTTCTGCTGCTTTGGTTTGCTATATTAATGGATATACCTCTCAAGTTATTGAAGCATATCTTCTGAGTATAGAAGATTAGGATTCTTGAATACAAAATATTTAGGGGAAATTTCTCATATTTTGAATGAATGAATGCTTGTGGTTGCTGTGGGAATGATGCAATGTACAATTAAAGATAATTGGATGGTTTCAGGAAAGTTCTCAAAAGCAGTTTGTATAAAACGGTGGTAATCTCCTTAAATCGCATTAAGATAAATCCAAATCTTCGAAGTGAGTAGTACACTACAGATTGTACATATTGGGGTCATTGTGGACAGTATAGAGTAGTGAAAAGAGAGAGAGAGTCTCTAACATCTTTTCTCAATGGATTTTGTGGTCTGTTGTTGCTTTAACTTGACGAAAAGCACTGTTATTTGGGAAATACCTAGCCCTTAGAAGTGAATGAGCAGAGATTTCTGCAATGTTATTTCAGCATTGACATGAACTGTGATCAGAGCATTAGGCTGATGTAATTTCTTTAAATTTTTCTGACATTTTAAACTTTAAGAAGTCAAGTTCCTATTTCTAGTGCAAACTAAACTATACTTAAATTTCCCAGGATCTCTATTTCCATTTGTAGCATGCAAGTGTTATATTCTAACTGAAGATTTTTGAGAGTGTTTTCTGTAACTTCCACAGTGTGGTTGGTTCCCACTTTATTTCTTAATAGAACATCCATACATTAACTGTGTTGAGTTGGGTTTTTTTTTTAACCAAATGATGTTTATTTGAAACTCATTATGGTGAGAGTTTTTAAATGTTAGTATCCTTGCTATTTTAGGATGCACATTCACAAGGTGAGGTGGTATCATGCTTGGAGAAAGGCCTGGTGAAGGAAGCAGAAGAAAGAGATCCCAAGATTCAAGTCTCCGAACTCTGCAAGAAAGCCATTCTCCGGGTGGCTGAGCTGTCTTCAGATGACTTTCATTTAGACCGGCATTTATATTTTGCTTGCCGAGATGATCGGGAGCGTTTTTGTGAAAATGTGAGTCAGCTCAGAAACTGTTCCTCTTTTCTTCTTAAATATTTTTTAATATTCTATTCCAAAATAAAATAAACCAGCACAAGCCCTCATATGTAGAAAAGCCACTGAAATGGAAGGTGGAGTTGGTCCCAGAATAACAGAAAGTGCTATTGGGTGCTCAGCCTTGATGGCTTCACATCTAGTTAACAGTTGGCTTCTGACAACCTCCACACATTAGTTTTCCTACTTTATCTCACATCTCAATTTCAGTTCTTGGAATTCTGTTTTATCTATAGGAATCCTATTTTACCAAGGAATCCCATTCACATCTCTTCCATGGCTAAAACTTGGCCATATTACATATTTATATGTTTTTGGCTAAGACAAAGAAAACAACAGGTGACTAACTTTAAAAATCAAATCCTTGATTACTATCTGCAGACTCTTTAGAACAACTTTCTAACACTTTAAACAGAGTGATCTCCATCTTTATAACAAAGGACTGCGAGTGACCTGTGTATACTCCCAACTCTGCCTGCTGTTTTGAATTAACAGCTTTAACCATCAGAGCCACTGATGATGAGTTTTATTGACTCTAGCATAAAGTTGTAAGAAGAGAGACTGACATTTCTCTCACTTCTGTAATTAACAGTATATCTCGGAACAAGTGACAATAGCCAAACATCCTGGGAAAAATTTTCTCATCTTTACTGCAATCACTATTTTCTTTCAAAGCCTGCTAAATTTTATAAATGGCTGAGCTGGTGTTCAAAGGTACTCATCATTATAGTAATTTAACACAAGTTCTATATAAGATTGTGGATAATGCCCAGCATAACTACTTAGCTAATAATACTGATGATGAGGAGGATGTTCCCTCTTACAGACACAAGCTGGTGAAGGCAGAGTGTATAAGTGCCTCTTCAACCATAAATTTGAAGAATCCATGAGTGAAAAGGTAAGCATTACTTCGAAACAAACCAATAATTTATTCATTTCTTAAAAACTTTCTCAGATCCTCTCAAACAATAGTCTTACAAACTCATATCAAAATATAAATGACTGATAAAACTTATCCTTTTCAGAGTTGAGATACTTGGCTTTTAGTAGGGAACCGAAGCATTATTTTACTTAAACCAAGAAAATGAAGCTTTTTGTGATATCTATACATTGAGAAGCTAAGTGGAAATCAGTTTTGGGGGTAAAATTGGAGAATTTTATATCAGAATCACACTGAAGCCATCCCTATATATTCAGGAAGTTTAGACTGACCAAACCAATGTACTTCATAGATAATTAGCGATTTAATTTTTCAGCAGCTGTCTCATTAAGCATTCTCATTATTATTAGTCCTCTGTCCCTGGATGAATGCAGTAATCTTTTATGACTTTAAAAGTAATTATTTTTACTTTGCTATCCTGTCGTTTACTTTCCTGTGCTGAGGAAATGTTTTTCATTTCAGTTCCTTATATCATTTACTATTGAATAATTATATTTAAAAAGTGTAGAATGGAATTTACAGAGTGTTATGTCACTTGCCACTTTGATTCTGGTGAAATTTATTTTAAGGGTATTGCTGAAGAGGAAAAGAATACTTTGTCAAGTTAATGTATTAGAATCTACCAAATATTTATGTGTTTAGGACAGCTGCTATTGCTGCAACAATCAGCAAATCACTATAGTATTCCAGGATTCCCCACCTGTTTACCCCTACCTCTTGCCACCTAGTTTAGCCTGCTTGTGCTCAATTTTAATCAAACTTAAAGATAGACATTTTGGTAACAACCATAGTTGTTGACTGTACTTGGCTGTGAGCCTCTGCTTGTCTTAGAGGTACATGTGAACAGCTGAGCCACCTGGATGGTCTTACAACTCTCTTGCTGCACCCTTTCCTTAGTGTCGAGAAGCACTAACAACCCGCCAAAAGCTGATTGCCCAGGATTATAAAGTCAGTTATTCATTGGCCAAATCCTGTAAGAGTGACTTGAAGAAATATCGATGTAATGTGGAAAACCTTCCTCGGTCCCGGGAAGCCAGGCTCTCCTACCTTCTGATGTGTCTGGAGTCAGCTGTGCATAGAGGTAACAGTTCATTTCTTTTTATCCATTTCATTCCTTTTTGGATATTTTCCTCCTATATTTACTCTTTTGAGTGCACCTGTGCTTTGTGACGCAGGAGTCTTTCTTTGTGAGCATAACTCTAGGCTGAAGGCTTAGGATCCCTAAGCATGATTGAAGCCCCTTCCTCTTAGCTCAACAATCCCAATTTTGTTTTTCTTTACATCCCATCTTGCTTTTTAAAAAGTAAGTTATATTTCTCAAACCCAAATATTTTAATTTTAAAATGCATCTCACACAGCATTTTTAGGAGAGTCAGGGCAGCATGATGATTTAGCACATGAGCTTTGAGTCAGAGAGACACAGCTTCAAATTATGGCTCTATCACCAAATTAACTAGCTGGGTGACCATTGCTTATGTTTCTTAATTTCTCCAAACCTCATTTTTCTTATCTATAAAACAAAAGTAATATTACTTATGTTAAGGAGTTCTTGTGAAGACTGAAGGAGGTAATTTGGCATAGCACTTAACACACAATAAGTGATAGGTACTATTATTATAACAGTGATGATATCAAGAAATTAAATAGTTAAAGAATAAAATACTACCCCTATAAGGTCAGACTCATGGTCTGTTTAGTCTAAAAGTCAGTCTCTGACAAAGGAACCAAGAAGGATGTATAGAAGGTCTGGATTGTCTTTCTTAATATTGGCAATAGGCTGTAAAAATGAAATTCATAGCTGTTATTGAATAAATGGTGCTGGAACAATTGGTTAGTGATTAAAAAGTTAAGTGGAAAAAAAATCAAGCATTAGATAAAACTCAGAACTTTTTGGTGAAATTTTTTTTTCATATCTCGATGGTGAAAGACTCCTAAGCTTAAAAGCAATGGATTGAGTACCAAACAAAGGACATTTTGCAGGCAATTGGAGAATTTTGATTATAGTCTAGGTTTTAGATGAAATTTTCCTGAAATGAAAAGGTGGAGATTATTGACTAGTAAAAGCATATTATAAAATAGTATGCATAATGTAATCTAATCTTGGTATTTAAAAAATAGAAAGTTAATGTCCTTAAACTGCAAATTAACAAGAAAAACAAAAAGGCTCAGTAAATAAATGGCCAAACAATATGAACACATAATTCAGAAAACTTATACAGATTGCTAGTATTAAAAACACTGACCATATTAAGTGTTGCTGAGGATGTAGAAGAACTGGAACTATTGTATACTGCTGATGGTATTTTAAAATGGTACTACCATTTTGGAACATAATTTACCAGTTTCTTGCAAAGTTAAACATACATCTACCATATAACCAAGCCATGTAACTCCTAGATATTTACCCAAGAGATATGAAAGCATATGTCCATATAAACTCTTATACATGAATACTCATAACAGCTTTATTTGTGATAGCCCAAAACTGAAAATAACCAAAACTTCCATCAATGGTTAAAGGAATAAACAAATTATAGTATACCTACATAATGGAATAATATTACTTAGCAATGAATAGGAATGAACTGTTGATACATGGATGCATCTCAAAATAATTAGGCTGAGTAAAAGAAGTCAGACAAAAAAAGAGTCCATACTGTTTGATTCCATTTATATAAACTTCTAAAAAATGCAAACTAGTAAACTAATCTTTAGTCACAGAAAGCAGATCAGTGGTTGACTGAGGGTGGGATTGGTGGGGTAGAAAGGAGAGGAAGGGAGGGATTCTCAAGAAGCATGAGATAACTTTTGGAGTTGATGGTTGTAGTGTTCAATAGCTTGATTGTGGTGATGGTTTCATCGATGTATATATATGTCAAACTTATCCAATTGTATGTTTTAAAAGTGCAGTTTATTATATGTCAAGTAAACTGCAGTACAGCTGCTTTTTAAAAAATTTCTTACGTTTTCCCAGTTGGCATTTATAGCTCAAGGAAGGAGGGGAGCTGTAGTGAATATTTGAAGTGCAGTCTTTTCTACAAGTTTTAACTGTGTAGGCCAGTAGGGATTGTTCTTGGCTTTCATTTTTACCCCAATAGTTATCTTATTGATAAGACTTCTCTTGACAAAACATTTTCATTATTAGTTCAGTAGTATAAAATCTGTATAATGCACAACACTGACAAGATAAACCCTAGTTTCTGGAGTCTTAAACTCATTTTATGCTGATAAAGTTTTTGCTAAATTTGGTATATTATATTCTAGGGAAAAACATGTACTTTTAATATGTGGTGCTATCTGATCCTAATGTTCACCATCCATAATGTTATGACTTAAATCCTAACTTAGGGCGACAAGTGAGCAGTGAGTGCCAGGGGGAGATGTTAGATTACCGACGCATGTTGATGGAAGACTTTTCCTTGAGCCCTGAGATCATCCTGAGCTGTCGGGGGGAGATTGAACACCACTGTTCTGGATTACATCGAAAAGGGCGAACCCTGCATTGTCTGATGAAAGTAGTTCGAGGGGAGAAAGGGAATGTTGGCATGAACTGCCAACAAGCGGTAAGGAAAAAATTTCTGCTGCCATTTTGAATGTCATATTTTATCAGCTGAGGAGCCTCTTCCTGACAGTGTCCCAGCTTACTTTATCTGGATCATTTGTGACATCACAGTAAACATTAAGTACTAAGAACCAGGCACAGAATATTGTTTCTTCAGGCATATCTTAGTAAGAATGTGGAATTTGCTGCAGAGCAGAAGTTTGAGCTCATAATCAGTAAAAAGAGTTATACACTTACAGCAATAGATAAAATGCATTGTTTGCTGGAATTTTTAAAGAAAAGATAACTTGCTAGATTGAATTTACTAAGTGCAGAATCAAGGCAAACCAGGTTCTGGTAAATCAGAGAAGTTCCTCCACCAAAAGAGCATTTGCCTGTCTAAATAGGTTTGATTGAGTTGAGGCTGAAAGAGAGCTGAAATGAATTGAGATTTTCGAAGAGTTTCTTTTTATTACTGTTGTGCAACATGGCATGAATTCCTGGCCTGAGGATCAAGAAAGCATGTCATTTTCAAAATCACACCATTTTTTCTTGTTAGAGTAGAGCAACTATGCATGGAAGGGTCTTTCTCTACCTCCAAACTCAAGTCATTTCTATAAAGATAGTTGGAAAAAATTAGCATACTTTGCTTGAGAAGATAAAGTTATTCTTGATCCAGGGTTCATAAAGAGTTGAATAACTACAGATCAGGTACATAATATAAATTTAACAAAATATTATAGATACAATGCATCTATTTCATTGTCCATGTTTATTACTTTTTATTGAATAAGAATCTTTGAACAATTTACAATACTAAATGCAACAGTGGTATCCTATGCAATGTACCCCATACTTTCCAATACTTTTATTTAGGAAGCACAAAAGATAAAGTTTAGCTGTATATCCTAAATTAGAAAGTTGAGGCCCTCTCCTCAGTGAAACTTTAGAAAACCACTATTCATTAGTCTTCTATTTTGTTGTTGGCGTTTTTATTAAAAATTGACTATTACTTATTTTATTTTACTGCTAATCATGTAGAATCAGAATTTTATAGTCTGAAACACACAATTTTCACAGAATTTTGATGTGGAGTAAAATTTCATTTTAGCTTCTATTACCTTGACCCAGAGTAGATAGTAATTTTTACATCCTGTGGTGGGAAAAATAGACAAATGTAGTGTAGCCTCTTCTCCAAAGTACTGAGCCTACCTAGAAGGAGGCTTCTGGGTGTAGTTGCTTGGGAGCAGTCCTTGCTGGTGATTGTTCTAGGGAACCTCTGTGACAATGTATGTGCCTGGGCCCCAGACCAAGAATGAATCAAGACATCCTGTATTTGCATTTCATCCTTAATGCAGCATGGAAAGGGGAGGGGAGTGGTCAGGAAGAAACCTATCTTTTTACTGAGGCTACACTTGTACTAAGGTGTGTAGAAAAAAGAAGATAAGTTGGTTTGACTTTATTTTGAGGCATCAAGTTTACCTCCAGGGCTTTTTGAAATTTAGCTTGTTAAAAGAGCTAGTGACTCAACCTGAAAGATAAATAAGTACCCCCTACCTCATCCTTTGTGCATAGAAGATAAGTGCTTTCCAAACCTAGGGGTTAGCCTCATATAGTGACATATGTGGTTTTGCCCACATTAAGTTTAGCCAAGTGGAAACACTTTATTTTGGTGTTTTTGTTGTTGTTGTTTTTTGTTTTGTGAGGAAGATTAGCCCTGAGCTAACATCCAGTGCCAATCCTCCCCTTTTTTTTGCTGTGGAAGATTGGCCTGAGCTAACATCCGTGCCCATCTTCCTCTGCTTTATATGGGACGCCGCCACAGTATGGCTTGACAAGCAGTGCGTCAGTGCACGCCCGGGATCCGAACCTGAGAACCCCGGGCTGCTGAAGTGGAGCGCACGCACTTACCACTTGTGCCACCGGGCTGGCCCCTATTTTGTTTTTCATGGACCCGTGGTTTTTATAGTCTTTGCTCACAAAAACGGAAGGAATAAGGAGAAAATCTTCCTTAGTCTTCTGCTACATTATCCATCCTTAAATGGAGGAATATTTTGAAATAATTTATTTTGAATGAGTTTCTTTTTCAGTTTTCTTCCTTGATACAGTAGACTTTCATACCTGTCTGTGGTTGACCATTAATTTTCCCTATTCTCTGCTTGGTGATGCTTTGATTTAGTGATCACTCAACAAATAGTGAACTGTGAAGCATAATGATAATTGTTATCTTGATCTTATCTTCCAAATGCACTGTAATCATGAACTTATTAAATTCTCTTCAGTTATGGCTGAACGAGTCTGGGCCCAGTCTCTCCCAGGCCAAAGATGACTGCTCAGTCTATTCTTTAAACTAATCATTTCTTGGAAGCATTTTCCCAGGTTTTTCTTAAGCAGTCAGGGCTGGAATAGATGTATAGTCATGTAGCCATTCACGTTCTTAGTGTCTGTTTCCCACACTGCTGTCACTGGATTCAAGAGTGACAATGATCCCCTGAGCCGTTAGCCTACTAGAGTCTATAGGGCATTCATTGTCTCCTTTTAGGACCTATAGTCTGGTGCATTCATTGAGAATTCTCAAAGTTCGCCTGTCAATCATGGATCTTTAACTGATAACAGTTCTTGCAGCGACTTCCAGACTCCCCATGATGCTTATAACTTTCTCAGAAAAAGGTGTAAATATTTTAGTCTTTGTCAGCAAACGTCATAACTAAAATTGGTAGTCGTTTGATGGTAATCTTTCTACTAAGTAAGCACAGCATTTTGTAGCTTCTCCAAATTGCCACCAAGAATTGGTATAAATAACTTCCATCCCAGAATACTGGAAATCTTTCGTGCTTCTCTCATCTTAATTGCTGACTTCTTTTGAGATAGACAGAGTTGGAGTTGTCTTTCTCCATTTCCTTTTGATCTGTGTTCTCTGATCAATATGTGATGGGGTCAGTGTTTTCATATGAGCCCCTGTGGGATCATAGGTCAAATGTGTGAGGATCAGAGAAGGCTTCTTCAGAGGCTAAATCCATGACACAAGAAGGGCTCCAATTTTTTTAACTTGGTAAAAAAGGAACCCAAACCAGAAGGATTGCAGTTTTCACGTTTGCTTTCTGTTATTTAAGATTCCCACCCCAAAACACCATCTGCTACCCATCTGTAGTAATAATGATCTTTTGCATCTATAAAATACTTTGCGATTTATGCAACCTTCTCATGCATATTACTCCTTCTTATAATCCTCTGCAGTTAAAGAAACTGGGACTTAAAGGTTATCAACTTGCCCATATTCTCAATGCTAATATCTGTCTGGCAGAGCTGGAACTACTAATAGAACTCAGGTCTTCTGCTTCTTAATTTAGAGCTTTTCCCTCTGTGCCTCCACTGCTTTCTCCTCAAAGACAAGAAAAAAGAGTCTGAGACACATTTTATCATGCTTTCAGTTTATTCCATGACAAAGGATGTCCCAAGCAAAAGTAAATCTTAAAGAATATATTCTCATTTTCAACTGCATAATGATAAGTATTTTTCTGTATACTCATAATGGGCAGATTCTGGTTTACCTCTTGGTTGTATAAAAGATAATTGAGGAAAAATAGGAAATTATAAGTATTCTTGTTTTTTGTAATTGATATTTCTTGCAAGTTAAATGAAATCTGACATCTGTTTTTAATAAAGCGGAGTATGCTTGTTGTAATGCCAGTGTCTTTGCAGGAAAATTCAAATTCTGGATACTTACTACCTAATTAGGTCTCCAACTAGAAATGTCTTCTCTTTACTCTTCTCCCTCAATTCTGGCTTGGCCCTGAGTGTCAGATTTAGTAGTCTGATTGAATATGAGGAAGGACACAAGCTTTATATTGTAAAGGCCTTTTGTTTTGCAAATGTCCAGGGATGGTTCAGACAGGTAGGCAAGCAATCCCCACTTTGACTTAAACAGAAAAACTTGCAATCAAGGCAGAGAAACCACTTGGAAAGTATTTGGCAACAGCTCTTGAGCTTGGCCAGTGACCATTGTAGTACCTTGTTAGGAAAGAGTACATTGTGATATACCAGACTGAGTAACTGATTGTATGAAGAGATGACTTTGCTCTTCCCTGATGTGTAAGTGACTTTGTTTCTTAATTTTTTTTATATCCAGCTTCAAACATTGATTCAGGAGACTGACCCTGGTGCAGATTACCGCATTGACAGAGCTTTGAATGAAGCTTGTGAATCTGTAATACAGACAGCCTGCAAACACATAAGATCGGGAGACCCAATGTAGGTTATCTAGTTTGTGATATTTATCCATATTATATTGTATTTGGCAGTGCAGCACAGGGAACATTCCCTCAAATGACTTTTGATTGGTTTAACATCTTAACTGAAATTTTGTTAAATAGGAACACATCCATGATATAGAGATACCTAGACTGAGCACTGTGATGATATTTGTTGACAATGACTGAGCATATATGGGCCTGTACATTAGGTCACTGAATAGTTCCATTTAATGGTCAAATGAAAATGAGAGAGAGAAACTCTCAGAATAAAGAATGATGCATGCTTTGGCTCTGTATTTTTCGTCCTGTTTGTATATTGACTTGTATACATTGGCTACTTGATAATCATTAGAAAGTAATTAATTATTATTGAAATAAAAAACAAAATGTGGTGGTTGGAGGGGGTAGTCCTGGACAAAATGAGCTCTGAACTTGCATCCAAGATCCAGGAAAGCTGTAAAATGCTATAATAAAGTATTTGAATCTCATGCATTAGTTTTATTCCATATGATGTGCAAACAGCTCTTAAAACTAGGTTGCAAGTAAGAACAGGTTTCCAATTCTGCAAAAATCTTTATAGCCTGCAGCTGGCAGTACCTAACAATAAAAGAAATGCAGTCATCTTTATCATCGTTCTGCTATTCATACACTTCTACTGTTCATGCTGTGGTAGGGGATTATGAAAAGGTATTCTTCTTTGTGTAGTTGGAGGAGATAGACAAACACTCTTAAGACTAATTAAGAATATTTACCAATATAAAAGTAACTGCATCAACCATGAAGGGGCCAGGGGAGAGGGAGGAAGAAGGGAACTGCTACGGATTAAATAGATTTGAGATGCTATCAATTGAATGCAATATGTGGACCTTTTCTGGGTCCTGATTTGAACAAACGTGTAAAAAGGCATGAAATAATTGGAAAAATCTGAAAACTGACAAGATATTTCATGATATTAAGGATTTTTTCATTAATTTCTTTTAGTGGATAATGGTATTACTTTCTCATATCATAGAGAAATATGCTGAAGTATTTATGAATGAAATGGTATGGTATCTGGGATTTGCTTTAAAATATCAGCAAGGGGATATAGAGTTAAAATAAACTTGGCCATATGTTGATAAAGCTATGGGGAGGGAGGGTGGATAATATATGATTCTGTACTTTTGTGTGTGTTGGAAAATTTCCGTAATAAACTGTTAAAAATAAAGCAGCTGCATGCAGATCTTGTGCAAGCTGAGTCCTAAGTGCTAAGTGGCTCTGAAGTTGATAGAAGGCATAATCACTGTCAGGTTGAGTTAATTTGAGTGATTCTCAGAAAAGTAAATCCCTGATTGCCCTAGGAAAATAGCTAAATGGCTTTTTCTACAGACCAAGGAAATACTGATGCGAGAGTTCTGAACCTATTGTCAGAGCTCTTCTTTCTTTTGTTACAATTTCTCCCCTGTTTTATGCCCAGGATCCTCTCATGCCTGATGGAACATTTATACACAGAGAAAATGGTGGAAGATTGTGAACACCGTCTCTTAGAGCTGCAATATTTCATCTCCCGAGATTGGAAGTGAGTATTTTGAAGCCAGAGTAAGTGTCAGCCTCAGCCTGTTCTCCTGTGTAGTCAGTATCTCTTGTATTTTTTTAAATAATCAGTAGGAATTTGTTTTTGTTAAGTTCTAGGATAGCTGACACACTCTAGTCCCCTGAAAAACCTCGTTTTGGTTTTCATAACAGTATTTAAAAGCAGAGACTTCCTCTGCAGGTCTGTCCCCAAGTGTCCACATTCACTACTAATTTGGAAGTCAGGGTCAGATGTGTCTGATACAACAAACATCTATTTAGAAAGAACTTGGGCACCTGTGGGGCAGCAGAAGCATCTTCAGATATGTCTCTAGGAAGATAATAGTGCATTTCTATTCTTACTGATTTGCACTGGGTATGGGAATTTGCTTTTATTTCTTTAACTATTCAAAGTTATTGAATTTATTCTGTCTTAAGAGGCTCTTACCAATAAGTGACAACTTGATTCTCTTCTCATCCTGTTAGCCAGAAAAAAGGGGGGAAATGAAATAGAAGTATCTATATTACAGTCAGAATCTCTATAATTTATTGGCTTCAATCCCCTCTTCTTTCCATGTCTTATTTTCCCTTCCTACCTCCAAAGCAGCCAGTACCAGATCAGGCTGCTCCTCCTGTGTCCCAAGTTCAGCTGCTTCCCGATTCAGTTGTTTAAGCCACTGTACTTTGGTCATTAACTTTTTCTGGTAATTACTGTATGTTTTAGCCACATACTTTACTGGAAAGAATACTTGTCAGTGTGTTTCTATTTCTGTTCCCTCAAATTAGCTCTGGAAAGGACTGCAGAAGCTGTGTAGGAATTTCTCTGTGCTTACTCAGGCCATCTAAACTGAAATAGTAGAGAGTTTACTACCTTAAAAAAATCATGTTTTTTCCTCTTCTGTAATTCCTTCACCCATGACCAAAAGAAGCTTCACAGTCTTAAAAGCTACTCACTAAATATTAGCTTTTCTCCTCCCATTAAATGGCCCTTCCCAAAGTTGACATTATAAAGTGGACAGAATTAAGCATCCGTTGCCTAACTTTGCAGAAGCAGCAGGCTCATTGCCTAATCCGCTGTTTCCAGAGTCAAAGTTAAATGTCAAGTTTTTTAAATTGATAAGCATATTCAGGTAAATTGAAAATATAACTGCCTTACCTTGCGTGGGGAAAAGAAGAGCAACAATTTTACTAGAAAGGAAGTTGAGTGGGAGATTCTGTTTATCGTGCCATTTCCTGATTTTGTTGAATCTGATATATCAGGTAGGATTGAACTTTATTTGTACTTAGAAAAAAGTATTGAATGAAAAGTGAATTGCCTGATGATAGCTAAAACCTTGTTTTCTTATTTCAGCCAGGACATGTTAGTGCAGAGTCTATTATTGTACTGCTGTGTGCCTTACGTAGCCAAGATAATGTCTTTGAGGTAGAGCTTAAATCTTCTGTATTGAGGTTAACAAACATCTATAGATTGACCATTGTGTCTTCATGAAGAACAAAATTCAGGAATGTACTTTTGCTTGCCTGCTGTCTCCACTACCCTTTAGGTGATTATCAATGAGTACACAAGCAAGCACCTTTTAAAAACCCTTAGCATGTCTTAGAAGGAAAAGTATAGTAAGACTGGTTGTCTTTTCACTCTTAACCTTACAGGCTGGACCCTGTCTTATACCGCAAGTGCCAGGGGGATGCATCTCGTCTTTGCCACACCCACGGTTGGAATGAAACCAGTGAACTTATGCCTCCCGGAGCTGTGTTCTCTTGCTTATATAGACATGCCTACCGCACTGAGGAACAGGGCCGGAGGGTATGCACTCAATATTGACTTCATTTCTTCATGTTGTCATTTGGTTTTTAATTAGTTTGCTATATATTGTTGTGATTTCTGTCATCCTAGGAAGACTTAGTATATCGGGCAGGGAGAGTTGCTGCACTGCTAGAAACTTCTTCATTCAGTGAGTGTACGTAGTTGTTCTCCAGCTTCTTTCCGTCTGATTTTACGTTTTTAACAAAGTGAGTCAGGGGACATTTCTAGTTTTTTCTTTAAATTACCAAAATCTAAATCACGAATAGATAGTTAAATTCTGCTCCCCTACCTTTATTTAGCTTTGAAGATCCATTAGAAGCTCTTAACCAGGATACAAATGGTCTTTAGGCTTCTGCCCTTGGCAGCAGAACACATAGTGCCTATGTGAATGAGGCCTCTCTGACAGTACTCTAGTTGGAGCAAAAACCTCCATACCCCAGTCTCTTGCTACTTCTTGTCGGGATATTTTTGTGTGCTCGGCTCTCCGGCAACATTTGCTGCCTTCCAGTGCCACGTTGACGTGCTGCTTGCTCTCCGGGATGGCCTTTTTATGCCTTCTGAGGTACTCTTATTGCATTTCAGTCCTGCATTTGTACAGAAAATAGACAGGGTATTATTTCGCATGCATGTTTACAAATACCCCTTCTGAGTTTAATGCCAAAGTCTGACTGTTTAGGATTCAGAATGAGGAGACCCAAATAGAAAGAAACGTCATACTTTAGTTACTGCAGTCTTAATCCAGTTTTTATAGTACTGTGTAAGAAAATATGAGAATTTGTTGTTACTTTTTTCTCCATATAATGAGCCTCTCATTAATCACAGGAGCTCCTAAATCCTAGCATCTTGATAGTCACTATAGTAGGAGGTTCCTTCTCTTGTAAATGATGAAAGGGTTGGAATCTAGTATACCGTCTGTTTAAAAAATATACTTCTTTTATAAATTGAGTTGAAATTCACATAACATAAAGTTAACCATTTTAAAGAGAAAAATCCAGTGGCATTTAGTACATTCGCAAAGTTGTACAACCACCACCTCTACTTCCAAAACATTTCCATGTCTCTGAAAGGAAACCCCATGCCCATTAAGCAGTTGCTCTCCCTCCCCCTACCTCAGGTGTGTTGGCTTTTTAGGAAAGGAGACTGACTGAGCTGTCAATGACAGCTTTCTCACAACCCTTCCAAAAATATTAGTTTTCATCTGTTTCACCCTCTGCTAACTCTCCCTAACTCATCTAGAAGAGTCTGGTCCTGACCTATAGTAACTGTTGCCTGCCTCTTCTGAGTTTAGGTAAATTTGAACTCAGTTCTCCTGACCCCAGTGTGTATTCTCTCATGAATTGGATCAAGCATTCCACTCGACATTCATAGAGTAGTGGCAAATTAATTTTGCTAAACAAAACCCTCTCGAATCTAATCAGAACGAATCCAGTTCACTTTGTATCAGGATACCCTGAGAAAAGGATGTTGTTTCGTATAGTATATTAGAAAGTGCTGTGTGTATAATCTCATTCCTAGAGGTACGGGTTTTTAGAAGCCTCCTAAAACATTTAATTCTTATTTTAGAAGAGATTCGAGGTATAAAGTTTGGTTCAAATAGCTATAAAGTTATTTGTTAGTTTCCTGGCAACAGATTTGCTTTGTTTAATGTCTTTTTCTTTTGGTTTTGGTACCTTTAAAGTATTTTGCTATTCGTTCTCATGTAGCTCTCACGGGAGTGCCGAGCTGAAGTCCAAAGGATCCTACACCAACGTGCCATGGATGTTAAGCTGGATCCTGCCCTCCAGGATAAGTGCCTGATTGATCTGGGAAAATGGTGCAGTGAAAAAACAGAGACCGGACAGGTAGGTGACATAGCTACCTGTTTATCTTACAGTGAAATAATAATAATGTTCATGGTTAACATTTTATACTGAGTACAAACACCATAAAAATCCACCTCTGTTTACTTCACAGATGTGATTTGTTATATTCAATATTCCATCTATAAAAAATCCTCAGGAAAACTTTCTCTTTTGTTTCTATGTTAGGAATAATTGTACTTTTCCAAAGCAATTAATTTCTTTTTATATTATGGTTACTGTATTTTATAATTGATTATTTTTTCTCTGTGTTGCCTCTTAAAAAGTGTGGAGCCAAAGATATGGCCTGCTTCTAACAAGTATATAAGATTTCATGGTAGGCATTTTGTGTACCAAGCTTACTGCTGGCTTCATTCCACTTTTTTTACCATATTTTCCTTTTCTTTCCTTTTTTTTACTCATTTTTAATTCATTTTATCTTGCCTTTTTTTTCCTTTTCTCTCTTTTATAAGACACATTAAGTCCTTTTGAGGGAAGGCAGGGTATAAATATACACACATATATATGTGAATACTGACATACATAAATAAAAGTACATGCCGGGGGGCTGGCCCGGTGGCGCAAGCGGTTAAGTGCGCGCGCTCCGCTGCAGCGGCCTGGGGTTCGCTGGTTCAGATCCCGGGCATGCACTGACACACCGCTTGGTAAGCCATGCTGTGGTGGCGTCCCATATAAAGTGGAGGAAGATGGGCACAGATGTTAGCCCAGGGCCAGTCTTCCTCAGCAAAAAGAGGAAGATTGGCAGATGTTAGCTCAGGGCCGATCTTCCTCACACACACAAAAAAAAGTACATGCCCCACAACAGTGCTACAAGGTGTGTAGGAATGGAATTATTTTTTCCATCTAGTACTTGACAAAACTGAGGCTCAGAGAAGTGAAGTGTATTGACTTCCTTATCTAAAACTCAGGTTTAATCCTAGCCAGGCATTTGTTCCCTTATAATGTAACTTTTCCATATAGGAAAATGTAGGGAAGGAGCAGCCCCCAAGAATTACAAGCATGCTGTGACTAGTTTCTAAAGATTTTGTGCATAGTTTTTTTTTTTTTATGTCTTTTATTTTTTTATGTCTTTTATTTTTTTATTTTTTGTGAGGAAGATCAGCCCTGAGCTAACATCCATGCTAATCCTCCTTTTTTTGCTGAGGAAGACCGGCTCTGAGCTAACATCCATTGCCAATCCTCCTCCTTTTTTTTTTTTGCCCCCAAAGCCCCAGTAGATAGTTGTATGTCATAGTTGCACATCCTTCTAGTTGCTGTATGTGGGACGCAGCCTCAGCATGGCTGGAGAAGCGGTGCGTCGGTGCGCGCCTGGGATCCAAACCTGGGCCGCCAGTAGCAGAGCATGCACACTTAACCACTAAGCCACGGGGCCGGCCCTGTGCGTAGTTTTAAAAAAGAAAAAGAAAAGGTGTATTACAGCATTCTAACAGATTAAGGGGGAAGGTAGCTTGTCTTCTATCTTAAGGCAGGGAAACCAAGCAGTGAGGAATAGCTACTTGGTTAAAGCCCCATTAACACTAGAATAAGATGTGAACTCAGGTTTCCAGGTTCCATTTGTACCACTCCAAAACACCCTCTGGGACTAAATTATTAAAAAGTCACATGTACAGGACTTTGACATTTTTAAGAAGCAACATGGCTGCCTACTCAGATCTGTTGGGCCTGGGAATATCATTTTCAGCAGTCTGCTTCCTGGGCCTTCTACAGTTCTGTTAAGTTTATTGTTACAAGATGCCTATAGTTTAGCTTTCTGCTGCCTCTGTCTAATGCCACAGAGATATCGTGATATAGAATCCCAGGAAACAGTTTGCTTTCATACCCCCTGTAAAGTAACATTGAGAAAGCTGCACTACATTGCAGCCCATCACTGTGAAGCTAAACTGAGGAAAGGATTCCACGAATAGGATTTTTCCCTTAGCCATTTATCTTACTCCCAAAAGTTTTATGCATTTTCTGCCCACGCCCCCCCCCAACACACCACCATCAATTCTGGCTGTTGTATAATACCTACAACCCTCGTCATCCCTTCCCATTCTAATTCTGAACAGAGAGGTTCTTGCAGAATAGTCAGTAAGTTAAACTTGAGTACTTTGCTGAGAAATAGCTGTCGATATGCTTTGGGAAAGTGAGCTGATATTAAACTTAAAACCTCTAAATCTCTAAAAGGAATAGTGATAGACTAGTGCTACAGGGTAGCTCCAGCTGTTTCCAAAAGCCCAGACAAGACAGCTTATAGACCCCCAAACCCTAGTGTGCTCACTTGTTTTGGGATTTCCCTCCGAGGATCAGGAGCTATTGGCTCTGTGCTTGTTTCAGACCCTGAGTCTCAACTTACTTTGCCCATCAAGAGTCTTAAAATATTCCATGTCTTTCCCTGTGAATTTGTTGTCCAGTGATCATTCTCAAAATGCAGATTTAAAATGAGAGGCAAAGATTATCGAAACACAGGTAAAAAAAAAAAAAGGAATGGCAGGGTGTTAATGAGTGGAATAAAAGCCTGATAAGATTATTTTAGACTCTGAGGACACTCAAACCTTGCTTCTTGTTGGACTTACCTATTTGGCCTTCTAGAGGATTTGCATGGCTGTTGGATCTCCTTAACCCTCTTAACCACCCTGTTACATCAAGTAATTATCTTTTCAACAATCCCAGTTTAGAGAATCAGATAAAGCTTTAATGTTCTGTTCCATGAAGTAGTTTTAAAAAGAAAAGAAAAGGAGGACCTCTGAAAAGGAAGTAGACACTGGTATCTCAGCTTCCCTTGATCATTTATGTAATTGACAAATGCCAAGGGATTGCCTTTTGATTTGCAGGAGCTTGAGTGCCTCCAGGATCATCTCGATGACTTGGCTGTAGAGTGCAGAGATATAGTCGGCAACCTCACCGAGTTAGAATCCGAGGTAAGCATTTGCAGCTCACAGAAGGAGAGTGCCCTGTCAGCAGCCTTTCTTCTTTTCTTAGTTCTACTGTTTCTAGACTCTTGAGAGTGCAGATTCTCTGTAAAACAAGAGAAGCCTTGTCAGATTCTCTCCATTTGCTTTATAAAGAAGTATATTGTGTTGCTTCCTGAACCCCTCTCCTCATTTCTCTAGAAGAACACTCTGTACATTTAGCCTTTTGGTTTTCTTCATAAATTAAAATTATCACAGTGATTAGATCTATCCTTTTTCCCCCTCTTTTAGAAAATATAGCAGCTATACTTCAAATTTCTTAATCACATTCAGGAGTAGTCCAAGCTTTCCTATTCTCTTATCCTTAGCTCTTTCAATTAAGTCATTTGGTAATGTTTGTGAGTTTAATGAAATAAAAACCTAGGACTTCCAGTTAAACATGGAAGATTAAATTCATGTGTTTATCCCTCTTCCATCCTGAAACCCACTAGAATGTAAAAAATGGGATTAAAAAACCTCATAAGCATAGGCATATTATTTAGAAATACAGAGATTATTATGGGGCAGAGGGCGCAGCTAAAAATCTTACAATTGCCTTGTGCAGAGATCAGGGTAACAGGGAATTGCTATTTTTTTTTAATCTAAGGCTTTTAGGACTATTTGAATTGTCAAAATTGGCAATACATAAAATTACATTTCTCCACATCTTTTTTTGCTTTCTATTTTTCAAAAGTTTATTGCCTTCTTTCATCTTCTGTCATCTCCTCTCCCATTCTCACGTCCTTCTGGGCTAATGAGGACGTTCTGGGTGTGTAACTCTTGAAAGGAAGATGTTATTTCAGCAGCGCGCAGCGGGTACTCGGCTTAAAGGCGTTTAGTGTGTGTTCCCTAGACACAGTGGTTTGACATCTGATTTGAGGACAGTGATCTCGTTTAGGAGCTTATAAACTGAAGATAGATGTCATTTACTCGTATTTTCTTTTTGAACTGCTTAGATTTTTGGAAAAACTCCAACAGCTTTACATACTCTAATATTATTTTTAAATGTTTTTTTCTCCCCACCATTCTTAATTCTGCCTTCTCCTTTGTTCAGGCATAAGGGGAATCGGCCTCTAGAAAACTTGCCTTTTGAAGTATACTGGAGGAGCAGTTCTGTCTATGCTGGGGCTGTCTAACTTAAATACTAGAATAGTTTCCAAATGTATATTTTAGATTATTTACCCATCAGATGCTACTGATTCAGAAAAAGAAACTGCTCCTACCCCCGTCCCTGGCTCTTTCTAAAGCAGAATTAGTAATATATTTAATTTTCTACAGGATATTCAAATAGAAGCCTTGCTGATGAGAGCCTGTGAACCCATAATTCAGAACTTTTGCCACGTAAGTGATGTCTGGAAAAACAGGGGTTAGAAGTAGAACCAGATTCGTTGGGACTCTGGCCCCCAAGTGTGTTGGACTCATCTCTGTCTCTGGCATACATTTCTCCTGAGTGATAGCCAACTTTGACAAGGTAAAGTTGAAAACGTAAACAACATCAAGAGAGAAGAGCCACCATCCTGGGAAACCTTGTTTGGTTATCCCTTGTAGGTGCCCAGGTATGTGGTTAGCAGCACTTGTTGAGATGCCCTTTGTAAGAAGAGAGAAAAGGAGGAAGCCCCCATTAGCATGACTGAGTTGCTTCAGATACATCAGCCCAGGATTTGTTAGCAGTAATAGAGGCTTCTTCTTCCAGCTGTCTCCTTGTACCTTGATACTGAGGGAAGTCTGTTACTTTATTCGTTTATTGAACTACCCAAATTGTGTGAGTGAAGCACACCGAGAACCCATGAGGATCTGACACCCAGGAGGCGATATTAGATGTTATCCTGAAAGCCTGCTGCCGGCAGCAGAAGGAAAAGAGTCAAGGCCCTGCATAGTGCATATTCTTGTTGGTGCTTCATGCGGGGCAACATTTGTAAATTTTATTCCCCTGAGTGTTTATTCCTTGTAATTTCTCAGGCTTATTTTGACATGATTTGTGATGTATCTTGTTTGTGAAGGCTCTAGAATCAGTCTTGTTTGCACTTTTCGTGGACTGGGGGGCAAGGTTTGTTCATTAGTGGTTACAATTGAAGTGTAAATGTGCACTGCCTTCCCCAGGATGTGGCAGATAACCAGATAGACTCTGGGGACTTGATGGAGTGTCTGATACAGAACAAGCACCAGAAGGATATGAATGAGAAGTGCGCCATTGGAGTCACCCACTTCCAACTGGTCAGTAACACCTGGCAGATCCTTCTTGTCTTGGCTGTTTTGATGGTTACTGAATCCCTTCCTCTTTCAGAACGTCAGAACACTTCTTCTGTGAAAAATCATTTTTTCCAAATATATGTCCTATTTCGATTTATTCTCAATAAATGTGATTTTTATCTGCTAGGACCAGGCACTTTGTTAGGCTCTGGGATAAGACAAGATCCGTACCCTTAGGGATCATGCAGTTCAGTGGGGATAGGGACAAGTAAATAGACATTTCCTGCTTCAGTAACTGCTTGCTTTCATAAGATATTTTAGCTTTTCCTTTAACAATTAGCATCAGTGGCATCTGCTGTTTTGTGTCACTGTTCAGTGCCACAGCCCAAATGTGTATCAATGCTCTGGACTCTAAGCCTTTTTTTCTTTTAAATCATACTACCCAGGTCTGGCAGTTGAATAAGAAGGTTAAACCATGCTCTTCATCGTTACCACATGTCAAAAGGAAGTGTTTCTGGTAAAGCAAGCACTTCCCTCCCAGGAGGATGAAATCCAGTAATCTGTGTAAAATTGATCTCTTCTCCGGTCCTATTGCCTGTAACAAATGGTATTGAGGGCCTCTGAGTGCAGGCACTGGGAGACAGAGGTGGAACGACAAACCCTGCCCTTGTCGATTCTATGTTCTAGTAGAGAAAGACACAGAAACATATTTACAGAAAAATATATAGTCTCAGCTGGGCCTATGAGGAAAAATAAAGCAGTCTAAGGGCCGGAGTGTGAAGGAGAAAAGAGACTTCAGAAAGAGGTATTTGGATGGAAACATCAAGGAAGTGACAGAGCAAACCACAGGGAGATCTGGGAAAAGAGTCCTTTTGGCAGAGGGAGCAACACGTGTGTGATTGGAATGGCCAGGAGGCCCCTGTGCCTGTAGCAGAGGGAGTAATGGGGTGGTTGCAGCTCATGAAGTCTGAGAGAGACAGAGCAGATCGTGCAGGGCTGGGAAAGCAGGCTTCTGCAAACTCTGTGAACATGGTGTCACCCAGCACTGCTGATTAGAACTTGCCACAGAGCTTCTGATTTTCTTTCTCATCATCTTTTTCAGGTGCAGATGAAGGATTTTCGGTTCTCTTACAAATTCAAAATGGCCTGCAAGGAGGATGTGTTGAAACTTTGCCCCAACATAAAGAAGAAGTATGTAACTTTTAATTGATTCGTTCTGCTTCCCCAAAGTCCCTCTTAGCTACTGAATGAATACCCAAGATGTCAGGCAGCCTCCTGCTGTCTGACAGATTAGCCCTGGAGACCTCCTGCACGCTCCTTTGGTAGTATGGCCAAACACTTGGGTTGTCTGAACAGATCATCTTTATAGCTGCCTAGGTGGTGGTAGTTCTGGTATGGAGAGCCTATAGCTTAAAGGAGCATTTTCAGTTTTTCCAGGTTCAGGCCATCTAACTGATGAAGCAGATACAGATTGTTTACTTAGAGGAGCAAGTTGCACTGTGTATAAAAGAGGTTAATTGACTTTCTTCTGACATCGTTCCATTATGTCATCTCTTCAGGGAAGCAGCAGAGGCTTTTACTGAGTTAGAGATCTAGTTAAGAAACAAAACCTTTATTCATTTAAGAATTAGGTCTTAAGGAGGAGAGTGATGAGCTTTTACAGCATGGCTACCCAAATTCTTCCATGTTGCTCTTTGAAAAGGCACATTTCTAGAACACATTTGCCCTCAAATAAACCAAGTTCCCATTTTGCTCAGGTTTCTGTACCTTTTAGGAATGAGTTTCACAGTACATCAAAGACACAGTTCAGAGTTAAGAGCAGCATTCTTCTCTGATCACGTTTTTAACAAAACAAGTGTTGAAGTGTCCTTGTACACATGTCCCCTCTCTGGCCTCCCCAGCAGTCAGCAATGTAGTCAGCATTCGGGCTGTGGCCCAACTTTTATGACATACGTAGTCACATTGCTGCGTTTAGCGCTCTAAAAACACAGTGCGACTTACAGGAAAGGCATTCAGAAACATGAAAAAGGGGGTCATGGATTCTGGGGAGGTGGTGTGGCCCCTGCCCCAGTCCAGTTCTCAGCTGTCTGCCCTCGTGTGGCTCCTGCCAGTCTCAGGCCTTCTCTTTTCCTTTGCAGGGTGGATGTGGTGATCTGCCTGAGTACCACCGTGCGCAATGACACTCTACAGGAAGCCAAGGAACACAGGGTGTCCCTGAAGTGCCGCAAGCAGCTGCGGGTGGAGGAGCTGGAGATGGTAATGCCTCGTAGCACAGCCTCTGGTCCCAGAAGCCACAGGGGCAGGACTTAGAAAGTTGGGTGAGAGGCGAGGGCAAATTGGAAGATTTTATTAGCCACTATATAACAATAGTCTTAACCATAACAGGTTAAGACTTGGAGCCCTGTGCTAAAATTTTACCATATGGCAGCTTCTTGCTTTACGTTTCTTTTTTTGAACGATAAAATATTTTTATAATTTATGTGCGAATGAAATACCACACATAACTGGAAGTCCAGCTGCAAGACAAGCTGTAAGCATGTCATGCAGTCATCGCGTCAATAATGTCCTCAGGGATCCAGGGTCTCTCCCTCTCCGCTTTGCTGTCCCTGGCACTAGCTTTATCGTAAGGCTGGTTTCCCTCATGGCTGCACAATGGCTGCTCACTCCAATATCCATCTCCAGCAGGAAAATAAAAACGAGAGAAAACTACCCCCAGCATGAAATAAAGATCCTTCCTGTCAATTTGATTATGTCAGCTTGAGATCTGTGCTCACTTGAGACTGTGCCTGAGCAATAGTCTCCAGGGGAATGCCACACACTGGTGAGCTTACTCATCATCGAGGTGAAATGGATATTGGGAAGTCAACCACAGCGTGCACTCTAAGAGGAAACTTCTTACTTTTCTTTTGAGGTTAAGCCCAAACCATGTTAAGCAGACAGCTAAAAATATTTTATAATATGTTTTATATTGTGAATCATACTTATTTCACCTCAATCTAAGCAAAAACTAGTAATAGACACCAGACACCATTAATATTGCAAAAGTTGCATTACCAGATTTTCACATATAGTGGTAGTGATTCAGTGATAATTATGTTTAAGTGGAGCTAGCTTAAATGCCCTATTGTAATTGGGAGTTTGGGTCCCTAGCTTTGAACCTAGCTCTTTCAGTAAAATAATAATGATAAAAGTAGGACCCTACAGTTATATAATGGTTTTAACTTTCCAAAGTGGTTTTTACATCATATTAATCTTATTTCATCTCACAGCAATCCTGTGAAAGGGTCAGGGTAGATGGTAGCATTTTGTTTTGCAAAGAAAGTCCAAGGCCATGTAGCTAGTTAGTGGAGAACTGAAACTAAATCCCACTTGTCCTTTTACTGCAATGGCCACACTGCTGCCACTTTGGTGTGTAAAAGTTGTGGTCATTATACAAGACCTAATCAACAAATAAGTATGTGGAACATCTGACATTTCCAGCTTAAAGTAAGCTCACTTTTCCATGCTGGTTCCCTCTCACGCAGACAGAAGACATCCGTCTGGAACCAGACCTGTATGAAGCCTGTAAGAGTGACATCAAGAACTACTGTTCCACTGTGCAATATGGCAATGCTCAGGTAACTTTTTGTGTTTATTATTATTTTTTTAATACACACAATCATTTTTTTAAAAAATATTATTTATTTATTTATTTTCCCCCCAAAGCCCCAGTAGATAGTTGTACGTCATAGTTGCACATCCTTCTAGTTGCTGTATGTGGGACGCGGCCTCAGCATGGCCGGAGAAGCGGTGCGTTGGTGCGCGCCCGGGATCCGAACCCAGGCCGCCAGCAGCGGAGCACGCGCACTTAACCGCTAAGCCACGGGGCCAGCCCTTGTGTTTATTTTTTAATTGTGAAAGTAATATGAAGGTAACATTTTAATAATTAATTCTTCACTGGTGAGATAGGCCTCATCACATCCTTTCCAGCCTGATTGTCCCCTCTTAAGCTATGCCAGACTACTTTTCCCCAACGAACTTCCTCACCTGCATTCCTCTTTGTCTCCTCTTCATTTTCTTCCCTCTTCAGGTTACCCTGTCCCTCCCCACCTTGTCTGCCCAATAAGTTCCTAATGATCCTTCAAATGCCTCCTCCTCTCTATAGCTTTCCCAACACTCTGCACTTCTAGAATTAATTTATTCCCTTATATGTTTCCATTGCACAGAAGTTCTTAACTAGAGGTCACATAAGAATCTCCTAGGGAACTTTTTTTTTAATACACAGAACAGAGCCCTACCCAGAATCCTCAGGAGTGAAGTGCAAGCAAGTGATTTTTGTTGTTGTTCTTCCATGGACTCACCTACCTCTTCTAGCTCGGGTGCTTTAGCCTCTGAGATAATGGCTTCATTATCTTCCTGTATCTACTATTGCTGATGCCAAGTCTGATGTCAGTCTGATTCTCATTTCTATATAGTTAATCTAGTTCTGAGTTTTCTCTTTATCTTTAATGATCTGTAATTTCACTGTGATGTAATTAGGAATGGTTTTTTGTTTTCTTTATCCTGGTTAGTTCCTTCAGTCTCAGAATTCACGTCATTCTTCAGTTCTAGGAAATTCTCAATCATTGTTCTTTTGAATATTGCCTTCCTTTTCCTTCCTTCTGAACTCCTGATAGACAGTTGGAGCATTTGAATCTGTCCTCCATGTCTAACTTTTTCTTTCATGCTTTCCATTTTTTTGTCTCTTTGTACTACATTGAAGTAATTCCTCAGTTCTGTTTCCCAGCTTAATAATGCATTCTTCAGCTCTGTCCATTCTGCTCTTAGACCACCAATTGGATTTTATTTTTCATTTCCAAGATCTGTAATGGGTTCTTTTCCTAACTACTTGTTTTTGATTCTTGTTTACCATTTCTTTCTGTATTGCTCTGAGGATATTAAATATATTTTTTAATTGCTTTTGTACCTTTTTCCCTTAGTTATTTGGTGATTCTTGATTGTGCCTTGAGGATTTCATAGAAATCTCATGACTTCATGCTACCTCCCTAGCTATTGCAGCTTCCCATCTGCTTCTCTTCTTTATCTTTTTTTTTAATAATATCTATAAGTTTGGTGTAGAGAAGGGGAGATTTCAGGATATACTTAATTATTATCTTAAAATCCATCCCGTGGCACTTTATGCTTTTATATTAACCCACTCATCTTTTCTATTGTAGTTATTTGTTTATATAAGTTTGCCCTGAGAGATTTTATATTTGTCAGGGGTAAGGATTTACTGTCTAGTCAGGATTATTGCTCCAGGGAAATGCAAAGAGCCTAATGTATGCTCCAGAAGGAATCTTGACAAGGAACAGCTCTAGAAGGCAGAAGAAACTAGGAATCCTGAATGGGTTTCCTTCCCTTTAGACTCCAGTGCAGCCTGCTGTTCATCTGTAATTTCATGCAGTTTTATTTGCTATTAGCCCTGAGGTTGTAAATCTATAAATATAATTCTCCTTGGTGAGGAAATCCTGATTCTTAATAACCTAGGAATTAGAAATGGAAGGTAGTTGGATAGAAAAATATGGGGCACACTAAGAACTGAATGCTTCGGTCAGAATACATGGATTATCAATCCTTCATACACCCCTTAACTTGACCATAACTCTTATGCCCTAGATTATTGAATGTCTGAAAGAAAACAAGAAGCAGCTAAGTACCCGTTGCCACCAGAAGGTTTTTAAGCTGCAGGAGACAGAGATGATGGACCCAGAACTAGACTACACGCTCATGAGAGTCTGCAAGCAGATGATAAAGGTAAGGGATCCAAAACCAAGGGCTAAGCAGAGGGTAAGTAAAAATGACAACAACATATAAACTTCTTTAAATTTCAGAGCAAATTCATATACGCTTTCCATTTCAATGTGTTTTATGCAGCTAAGATGGTGGTTCTCAAAGTCTGGTCCCTAGAGCAGCAGCAGCAGCGTCACCTGGGAACTTACAAATTCTCAGGCCCCACCCCAGATCTACTGAATCAGAAACTCTGGGAGTGGAGAGTCTGTTTTAACAAGCCCTTCAGGGGATTCTGGTGCATGTTCAAGTTTGAAAACCACTGAGCTAAGATTCACTTTGACCTGAGGCACAAGTAAAGAGATGTGCAATAATATATGATTGATTTTGAGGGTAGAGTGGTAGGTATACTATGAATGCCACCATCGAATGTCCTGATCCTCCATCTACCACAATAAAAAGGCTTTGCTGCTGTACAAATTCTTCTGCTTCATTGCTTCTTCAGTGAACGTTCTCTGCAGCAGGACTGACTTGACAGTCTAGATGTGAGTTCTTGGATCTACCCACGTATACAAGAGATTAAACTTCAGGTTCTAACCCCTTATTTCAGCTTCCCTTTAAAATAAAATGCAACTTTTCACCCTATCAAATAAATTCCAAAGAGAATTGTGCAAGTTAGAAGTCTCTTTAGGGGCCGGCCCCGTGGCTTGGCAGTTAAGTGTGCGCGCTCCGCTGCTGGCGGCCTGGGTTCGGATCCCGGGCGCGCACTGGCATACTGCTTGTCCAGCTATGCTGAGGCCGCGTCCCACATACAGCAACTAGAAGGATGTGCAGCTATGACATACAACTATCTACTGGGG